CAGATCGATAGAAACGGATCGGGAAAGTGGCATTGGACTAAACTGGGACTTCACAAGTCAGGCCCAGGACTGAAAGATTACACTGGAGGCCCATTCAAGAGAATTAAGTCCATGACTGAGAGGAGTCCACAAGGGCAGCCCAATCCAAGTGGTAAGGGAAGAAGCTTTTTGAAGGTCTGGAACAGTCTATAAATGAGCAAAAAATAGAGGGAAAGGGGATCAAAAAATTATTGAAGTGAAGGGATACTCTGTCAAAATTGAGAGAGAAATTTCTTGCATCTTCAGCAACAAATTCAATCCTTTCAAGTATTTTATATTGGTTCTCTATGTCTTTGAACTTTGATTTGTGGTATTATCTTTGATATTCAGGTATTGAATTCGGCCTAGATGGGATCGAAATAAAAATGTTTCTGCTCATTTTATGGTTGTGTGACAACTATATAAACTCATTATTTTAGATTCACGTTGTGATGTATGGTCATTCGCATGTTGATGTGTGTTATTATATTTAGGAGATCTGGTGCATTTTTTCTAGAATTCTGGTATTGTTCTAGTTTCCTTGTAGTTAAAATACTAGCCTTTTTTCGTTGATAGTAAAAAATTATATGATTCTTTGACTCTTCTGCGCCACTTGTTCTTGTGGTTTTTTGAGTCAGCTACGCAAAACTATTTAATGAAAGTACCCACTTTACCATAAAACCCAACAAATTTATTGATTCCATAGTGGTTGGGTCCATGAGGCTATGATCGTGAAATGTAATGTTTCCTAACGCATATTAATACAGTTATTTGAAAATAAACCTTTTTATAATTGAGTTTTTTAGAAAACTAAACTACGCGGAGTTTGTTTGTTTGTTTTTTTTTTTTTTTTTTTTTTTTGCAATTTTCTGTTTTCAAAATTGAAAATAGAAAAATGTTTCAGAGTTACAAATGGTCCTACACTTAACTAAATTAACCTCAATGATGGTGAAATTCTTCAACTGGACTTGAGAGTCAAAGTTGATAGGCTAATTTCCTTAGAATTATTGGGAAGTCCCTAACTCACTTGTTCACATCCCATTCTTTCAATCACAGAGTTTCCAATCTCAGCTAAATGAGCTGCCAAACCCATCCACCGAAGATGATTCAGTAATATAGCTACCCTCTCCCAACTTCAAATTTTCCCTTGCTTACACAATCAACTACCTCCTTCCCCCCACCTTCAATTTTCTATGGTACAAGACCATTTGGTTTAAGCATCATGTCCCCAAACACAGCTTCCTCACTTGGTTGGCCATAAAAGGAAGACTATACACTTTGGACAGAAAACCAATGAGGCACAAACATCATATTAATACATGTTATCTTTGTCTTTCTAACTGTGAATCACTGGATCATTTATTCTTCCAATGTCAGTACTCAAAGGTAATCTGGTCATACATTTAGCATTCAATAGGGCTTTACATCCAACCTTCTTCCTAGAGAGATTTGATCATTTGGTGCTCTTCACACTGGAGTTCTAAAGGATTCTTGGTCCACAAATTATTGCTCTCAGCTGCTGTATATTTCCTTTGGATGGAGATAAATAATAGAGCTTTCAGGAACTCATCCTCATCCCCATCCCCAAACACTATCATCAATCAGATCAGGAAAACAATCAAAGGGAGACTGGCTTCGATCAAGTTGAAGAAAGCAACTGACCTGAGTAATCTTAACAGGACTAAAGACTTGCAGAAACTCTTCATGGAGGGTTGTAGTTTAGCTTATGCCCAAGCCCCTATCACAGATTAGCTATTGCTGTTCTAAGTTGGAGATTTGATGAACTGCCATCTCCTTAGCTTTTGATTTGAATGGTCTACATGTTAGTTTTGGTTTTGCTGTTAGCTTTGATTCTGCTTCTATATGTTGTTGGTAGTTCTCTTGCCAAGCTTTTACTTGTTAGCTTTAGTTTCTTCTGTATGTTGCAGCTTAGTGTCCCCAGACTTTGGAGTTGATTTGTACATTCTTTTCATCTTGTAAAAGCTTAACTTTAACTAAAAAAAAAAAAAAAATTGATTTTGGACCTATGAGATGCATAATGTTGATACCCACTTTAAATTAGTGAAGGATTTAACTGTAAACCAACATCTAAGTTGAATATATAATTATGGATTAGTTTTTTCTATTATTATTATTATTAGTATTATTATTATTATAGGATAGTACTCTTCAATGTGTCCTTTTCTCAAGTTTGATACCTCATGATTCATCTCTATTATTATATATATATATATTGATAGAATTGAAGCTGTATGCCTCTCCGTTCGTATTTCTTTTCATGTAGAACTTTTATTTATTAAATTATATAGTCGTTGAAGTTTTCAACCGAAATGGAGAGTTGAACTCATCAATTGGGTGGGGAACATTCACCTCCTCATTGTGGTTAATTTTTTGTTTAAAAATCTATTATTCATCACAATTAGTCCTTGAGGATTTTAAGTGTCTCAATTTGTAATTAAATACTTGAGGTTTCTAAGACTCAATTAATGGTTCGTTTAAATATGCAAAATTTTACACAACTAGTAAACAAGTAAGCATGTTTAGATTGATCTCGAATTCATATTTACCATTTAATATGTCGATTTCAAATTTGAGATTCAACCCATTAAACTCATTTGGCAGCTTAATTAATTGGATTATAACATGAGATATGGAATAGGGGGAGCTATCCCTTCAAACCAAAGGACGAATGTTCAAAGGGGAAAGATCCCAACCTAGAGTTATGCCCCAAGAGGAGGGATAGTCCTTCAATTTGCACATGGAAAGCTTTCGAAGTCACCATGGTGGAAATTTTTCGAATTAGGGCTACACCCCACAGTTTACACATGAATAAATACTGTTATCCTCCCATCAGAGCAACATAACTGGAATATACAAAAAAATAATAATAAAATAAAACCAGATCCTCAAAACCCATCACCACTCACTCGTTTTTTGAGTGCCAATTCACTTCCCAATGTGGATTCTTCATTTGCCCTGCAAATTGACCATCCTAAACGAATGGAGTTCCCATCATTGTAAGGAAAAAAAACATCAGCATCAGCAATATTGTCTGCAAACTAACCTTGTGTGTATCAACTATGGATGGTAAGAAATTCAAGGGTATTCATGTAAAATCGATGTGTTCTTGCTTGTATTTGAAACAAGTGGCTCTTTTATTTTGGAACAAGTGGCTCTTTTATTCTGATAGGCATAATTGGTCATGCATTTGGCTAATGGTGACAAGAGACTATCTCTGAGTCTCAATCTAACGTGGAGAGAGTCGTTAGATTTGTGTTTGGGAATGTTCAAAGAGTCTCAAACCAAATGGGCCCATGGAACAAAACGATGGTTTTATTTTTCACTGGGCCCAATAAACAATACGATGGTTTTATTTTTCACTAATTTGAGAAACTGCTCTATATCAAGTACGTGTGCCCGGTAAGAAAAGAAATGGTTGTGAAAATTCAATTCAAAATAATAATTTAGAAGGGGTGAATGGGGTGGTTTGCTCATGTTTACCCAAAATAAAATTGAATTAAACACACAAAGGAAGTAAATAAAGTAAAGTCCACACAAAACAATCAAGGTGATTTCTTGTGAAAAATAAAAAAAAATCTCTTCCTTGCAAAAGTAATGTTATTTATTTATGTGTATATTCATAAAATACAAAAATTATTAGGTCAAAAACATCAATTTTTATTTTCTGATTTTTCAGTCATATATATTTTACCCATTTACACTTTATTGGTAATGATTGATTAAATTCTAACGGTTTTTGCATTGTTTTACTTGTTAATGAGTTATTCATCTTCAACACTTCTCTATTGCAGTAGAAAGACTCTGTATTTTAAAATAGTTGAACACATATTTTAGTAATTGATTGTTACACCGGGTATTTGTTTCGGATTGGAATAGAAAGTATACAAAGGTATTTGTATCGGATTGAGACGAAAAATAAAAAGGATATACTTGCGCAAAACCGCTCTCTATTGCAAGTCAATATGCCACGTCTATAACAAAAAATATATATATAAAAAAAAAAAAAAAATTTCACCGAGTTTTTATGTGAAGAATAATATGGTAAATTCACCATAAATGTTTACCAGGGTGTGGGGGGTAATTTACCCATAAATTAGGGTTGAGAGTACGGAGTGATGAATCAATTTTACTTTTTTTATTTTTTGAGAATCAATTTTACTGAGTATTTCATTACTCCAGAGAGAAATGGCCAATTGGAGGAGTTTTGGCGATCGGATGTTAAAAACATGTTTCAATCCGGCGAGACTTCACAACTCCACTAGTCGGCGTGGTGGTGGTGGTGGTTGTTTGCTCCTTGGAGGCATAAAAAAAGCCTCAACCTTTTCACGGATCACCGGTTGCTCTTCTTGTTCTTCTCCACCTCCTCCACCACCCCCTGCAAGTCATCGATCACTATCTTCATCACCATTGCTCATGGTACCTCCCGGTGCTGCTTTTGTCGATCACAAAAATACAGGAAATCACGACGACAGTAGCAGCAGCAATGAGGACTATTTTCATTTCTTCAGCGTTTCGGAGCAGAGTCAAATTAGGGTTCCGAAGAATCTTACTATACCATGGCAGAGGGACCTCCTAACCCCTGACGCCGCACGATGTGTGGGCTCTTCTCATGGCGGCTGGCTAGCCTTTGCACACCCTCGCAATTCCTACCCTTATCTCTACAACCCTTTGATAGACTCCCCTCATTTCCCCTACATTCCCCTCCCTTCCATCGAAACCCTACCCCACGTCCGCGGCGTTCGCATCCTCAAGTCCGATCACCTCTCCCATTCCCCTTCCCTTCTCTCATCACCCGCTTCCAAATGTTATACAATTCATCAGAGATCTACGTTCCCTCTCGACGAGTCTGCCATTTTTACCTACGCAGGCTTGCTACGTCATCAGCCCCATCGTTCCCCTGTTATTCTTTTTCGTCATCAAAATCAAAATCAAAACCAAAACTTGACGAGGACTGCACTATAATGGCCCTCCATGGCATCGGACCTTCTGATATTGCCTTCTGCAAACCCGGGGACGATAGGTGGACCGTCTTGGACGTTTCGCTCCCATATTATTGTGACATCATGTATTTCAGCAAAGATCAGCGGTTTTATGCCTTGAAACCAGATGATGATAGCATTGAAGCTTGGGATCTCAGAGATCCTTCTTGTCCCAAAAATCAAGTGTTTGATAGTCCTTCCATTTGTCCTGGAAAGCTTGAGGACAAACTTCAGGAATCTTATCATTTTATTCAGAATAATTATTTAGTTGAATCCTCGGGGGATCTTTTGCTGCTTTACAGGTTCATAGCTAACGTCACTAATAGTGATGATCTTTCTGAGGAACAACGGAGTGAAATGGATGAGGCTTATTGGACATTGGGATTTGAGGTTCGCAAGTTCGATTTTGATTACAATGAGTGGGAACTTGTGGAATGCTTAGGTGACCGGGCACTGTTTGTGGGTTCTAATAAATCTTTCTCTCTCTCAACTTGCGATCATCCGGAATTGATGGGGAATTCCATCTACTTCACAGATGATAACTTTAACCAATTTAACCGCAAATATGGTTACCATGATAATGGTGTCTTTTGCCTAGAAGAGAACAACATAAAACCTTATTATCCAAGCAGTGTGAAGATGATTTATCCACATCCAATTTGGGTTGCCCCCTCCACAATGTAGTTCTACACAAACAGCTATTTATCTCCTTTTGGCTTACACAAGGTAGTTGATTCCTTTTTATTAAATTATAGTAAGGTTGTGATGTTTATGACATTTGATTAGTTACGTTTAGTAGCGGGTCACTGTTTGATAACTTTATTCAAATCCCTAATTTCTAAATTTTAATTATTTGCTTGCATAGTTTGATGACTTTTGGAAGTGGACAGTATTTTTTTTTTTTTTTTTTCCTATGCTGGACAATACCAATCAGTGTAAGGAGTAGTTTCTTAATTTTCATCCGTAGAACTAGCCAAAAGATTAACATCTTAAAACCAGTCTTTTGTTTGATCCTTTTGATTGGTGTATGTTAAATATTGTGAACTAGTTCTTTAAAGGTTCTGGTCTTCTAGAACATCATGCTTCCTAACATTACACAAAATTAATTCGGCTTTTTGTTCAATTCCATTTTGCTATAGTCCAATACTGCAACAAGATATTATGTATATTTTAAATGAACTGATCGGCCCAAGTCACTTGCGGGCTATAGTCCAATACTGCAACAAGATATTATGTACTTTTTAAATGAACTGATCGGCCCAAGTCACTTGCGGAAGCCACAATACTTGACGCATTGGTTGTCATAACACTGTTAGCTAATTTTTGTTTTTTTTGTATGATTATTTGTCATAGAAATTTGAACACTAGGTTTATTTTGGGAAATTTGGACTCTCAAAATTTTACTTTAAAGATGAGTTAGTTTTATTTGATTTTTGAAGTAGCAATTGCTATTTAAAAATAAATTCAAAGGGTTAGCTCAAATGGGCAAGTCATTTGTCCTTGGTGCTTTAAGGAGTATTAAGTTTGAAGTTTAACTTCTCTTAAGTGCATGGATGGGTTTGGTGAGTGCTAACTTAGGAAAAAAAAAATACTAAATTTTTATTACATAAGGTAAAGAACCAAAAAAAAAAAAAAAAAAAAAAATCCACAAAAAACAAACAGAGCTATGGAACTACAAAAAATACAATTAACCCATGAACTATGCTACTTGGTTGCAATTAAATCACTACCAATTAAATCACTCCGGTCACCACCATAATAATGTTATTAGACGGTGTGTATGCCATTTTTTATTCTTCTAAATGACCATTTAACCCTTATAATTTAACCCTTATAATACAAAAATACCAAATTATCCATTTATTACGTTAAACCCACATGCCCTATTTATATTCCCCAGAATCCATTTCTCGAACCCTAATTATAAACTACTGTTCATCTTCTTCATGTGTCCGATAAAAAATAAACATGATTTCCATATACACACACAATAAGAGGGTGGGTTTCATCTGTTGGAGATACGTTGATATGATGCCATTTTGACTTTCACTTACTATTGATAAAATTTTAAAGCAGATGGGGTGAAGTGTGCAAAGCAGAGTACTGTAGGAGAAAGTTTGGGAGAGTTCTAATCGGCCAAGGGGAGTGGGGGAAGGGGAGAGAAATATAGGTATGACTGTTATGGGAGAACTTTCATCATTATTGTCGTCGTCATCATCATCCTCTTCTTTTAATTTTAACTCCATATGAATAAGTCGGCCACATAAAAATTATCTTTCTAATATTTTTTTATTGCATGCCATTTTTCTTGTCTAACTTTCTAAAATTATTTTTAAGAATCTCAACCATGCTAGCTTAGGGAAAACTTTATGTCTCCATAATTTTAGAGAGAAGCCATCCAAATGGAATTATTAAAAACTTGCAGTAAATCCATCACCCCGATAACATAAATAGATAATGACTCGAAAAAGAATACAAGATCTCTGGTGTAATTAAGTGGAGGAGATGAAAAAGAGAAATTATAAAGTAAGAAAATACATCTTGAAATCAGTCTTTTGTTTGATCCTTTTGATGGGTATGTTAAAAATTGTGAACTGGGTTCTTTTTTAAAGGTTCTGGTGTTCAAGATAAGGACGAATCCAAGAATTGTTAATGGGATGGGTTAATATTTCTTTGGGTGAATTAATACTAGTAATAATTTTTCTTTTTTCTGGGCTAGGCTATAATTGCCTATAATAATTTTTTGTTTTTTTGTTTTTTGCTAGGTTCAATCTCACCCCTAAATCGGCCCATGCTTCTAGAACATCGTGCTTCCTAACATTACACAAAGTTAATATGACTTTTTGTTCAATTCCATTTTGCTCTAGTCGAATACTGCAACAAGATAATATGTATTTTTTTATGAACCGCAGGGTGTGTGTGTTATCGTCCCAAGTCACTTGCAGAAGCCACAATATTTCAACATTGGTTATCATAACACTTTTGAAAAAATTAGGGTTTGCTTGGTGTGTAACTCTAAAAACAGTTCTCAGAGAATAAAAAATTATTTTCAGATAATTATAAAAAAGAGTTATTTGAAAACATACATTTTTATAACTGAGTTTTTAAAAAACAGTTGTCAAAATACTGAACCAAACAGAATTTTTGTACAATTTCTGTTTTTAGTTCTTGAAAACAGAAAACTCTTTCATAGTTACAAACCAAACAACTCCCTAATTTTTGTTTATTTGTTTGATTATTTATCATAGAAATTTGAACACGCGATTTATTTTGGGGAAATTTGGTTTCTCGAGATTTTACTTTAAAATATGAAATAGCTTTATTTGTTTTTCGAACTACTTGAGTAGCAAATGTTATTTAAAAATAAACTTAAGGTATTGAGTCAAATGGGTAAGTTATTTGTCCTTGGTGCATCTGGAAGTATCAAGTCAAAGGTTTAACTCCTTTTTAGTGCATGGTTGAGTTTTGTGAGTATCAACTAGGAAAAAAAATACTACCTAAAAATATAGTTGAATGTTATATATTTAGGTACACAATATGTATATATGATTTTCAAATATATAAGCATACACATGATTTCCATATACACACAATTTGAGTGTGGGTTTCATTTGTTGGAGATATGTTAATATGATGTCATTTTTAATTATTCGCTGACTTACACTAATTATTAATAAAATTTTAAAGCAAATGGGGTGAAGTGTGCAAAGTAGAGTAGTGTAGAAGCAAGTTTGGGAGAGTTCTAATCCGACAGAGCGGGTGAAGGGGACAAAAGTATAGGTATGGCTGTCGTGGGGAGAACTTTCATCATCACCGTTGTTATCGTCATCCTCCTCTTTTAATTTTAATCACACATGAAGAAGTCCGCCACATAAAAATCCTCTCTTTAATTTTTTTTACATGTCATTTTCCTTGTTTAACTTTTAAAATTATTTTTAAGAATCTCAACCATGCTAGTCTTAGGAAAAACTCTCTCTCCACAATTTTAGAGAGAAGCCATCCAAATGGAATTATTAAACTTGCCCCCGATAAAATAAGGATTAAGTGTAACTATCGATAGAGTGCAAAAAAGTTCCTTAATATCGACACGCCCTACCTCCTTGGATAAAAGGAACTAGAGCTAGCTCAGAGAATCTGTAATTTCTTGTCAAATTCTTAATTTTCTGTTAGATGTTGGGCAAAGCAGGAATTTGTATGCCTAAAGAAAAAGTTTGTGGTATAAAACCCCCTATATTATTAATTTCGTGAAAATACCCCTTGTTGGCACAAGAGACATTAATACTCTCTTGTCAATAAAATAAAATAATATTTGAAAATACCCCTTGTTGGCACAAGAGACATTAATACTCTCTTGTCAATAAAATAAAATAATATTTAAAAATTTCCGCAATCTAAAATTACCATTTTAGACAATTTCCAAACTCAACCACAAACTCAGCTTCTCACAGACGCAATTATCTCTTTGCCACGGACTGGTCTGACCTTGCGCCGTCCTTCACTGTCGCCAACAGCCGCCTACCTTCTGTATATACCATCATTAACGGCGTCCTGAGCACGCTGTTCTTCACCGTCGCCAACAGCCACTAAACGAGAATCGTATCTTACCAAATGAGAATCGGACTTCTTTGACCACGGTGGCGCGGAAACTCAAACTCGCCCTCCACCTTTTTCATCTCCTGAACAGTACTTCAATCTTTTCATCTCCGACGGAACCACCGATCTCATCCTCAGCCGTCTAAAGCATCTAGATCTGACGACGCGCCAACGCGCTCCACATGCCACTGTGCGTAGATCTAATGCGCGATCCACTCTCCACGATTCAGAGCACTGCCGGAGGGACTCTGTTGGGTTCAAACCCATAAAGCAAAATTAACGTCGACGTCCTCTCCTCCACTTCACCGACGCCGATTACACCAGCCATACATGCCCAGAGAATTGATTCGGCATCGGTGAGGTACTTAACACCAGACTCGTCTTTGTCACCGGACATCTCTCACACAATCTTCTCTAGTCGTTTCTCTTCCGCAGGAAAGCGAAGGGAGAGATGAGATGGTTGCACGTCTCCTTTTTTTTTTTTTTTTTTTTTGTTTTTTTTTTGGATAAATAGAAATGCAACGGTTAAAGACTTTGCCAGAGCCATGGAGTCACAACAAATCGAATTGCAGCCATTGATGCAACAGTAATTTTTCTCTGGAGTCCATTGTTGGTTTGGTGATGAAGAATGGGTATTGATTTTGGAGGCAAGAAATGAAGGTGAAGAGAGGGAAAGAGAGAGAGGTGGGTTTGACGATGAGGAGTAGCTTGAAGTTTTTTTTATTGCATTGGGTGTGGGGGTGGTGCTGGTGGCTTTGGGTGCGGGGCCGTGGTGGTGGTTTTTGAGTTCGACAACTATAGTGGTAGAGCCACCACCACCAATTGTTGTGGCAGTGATGTGGCGGCTGGAGTCCCTTAGAAAAGGACAAATTAGGATTTTAAAATTTGTTTTATGTCAATTTTGAACAAAAAGTGGTCAAAGAACTTATTTACATATATATATATATATATATATTAAAAAAATTATGGACTGAAATACACACTTTTGAAAAGAATGAACTATTTGTACACAAAATCTATATTAGAGGATTTTTTTTTTTTTTTTTTGCACTTTACCCATAAAAAAAATAGATAATGTCTCAAACAAGATC